GCACCGGGCTGGAGGAGATCCGACCCGCTTCTGATACTGATACGTGCACAACTGGTCCACCTCAAAGCAGTTTAGCGCACCATCCTCACCCTGCTGTATAAGCCAGCATTTACGGCATCTTTCAGTAAATGGAGCAGAAGGAGCTGCGAGGGTGTTTCAGGGTCTGGTTATCCGCAGTGGGCATGAGAGCCGTGGCCTGCCTGCGACATACTGCAGGGCTGCGGCGTCTGGAGACGCATGACCGTCAGTTCGAGAGGCTTCGGCCATTTCGGTGCGTGACCCACTTTGCCGAGCACAAGAACTCGGCGTGTCGTAAAGCGAGTGGGTTGTCGTCGGGAGACGGGGGTGTCCCCAGCAGATGGTGACATCTCTGAAGAGCTCTGACCCCCGGCCCATGCAGCATTTCGCATGGCCAGGTGACACAATCGCAGCCGCAGTAATTCTCGATGACCCGTAGGCTCTGAATGTCAATGGGTCCACTGACGCATTATATGCTTCACTGGGGTGTGATGTGCGACGGGCGTGGAAGCGCATGCAGAGGTGACCCTCCAACAGCACAACATCACCCTCCCACCCAGCCTGTGCTGTTGGCCTCCGTTACTGCTGATCGAATGTGACGAGAGGGAGTTTCCATCCTCCTGCTGACGGGGAGGGGACGCCGGCCTCCCCCCCCCCACCTGCTCCTGTATGCCGTCCGTGATCAAGGAATGCGCATGAATGATTGATAAGCGGCCTGATTGCTCTTCAATAATGCATTGGCTAACGGCCTAGTGGCCGCCGTCTGCTGCCACCAGCGAGCCGGAGGAACGGGCAACTCCAGTTCCAGGCTGATTCTGACACCAATCCGGTTTGTCCGCTGTTTGTTCTAAGGCTGGTTCTGTTTAGTTTAAGCCTGGTTTTGTCTGTCCAGGTTTGCCTGGGCTGGGTGGGTGGGGCCCTGGAATGCGTCAGGGTAGCAGTGTTTGGGGAGGAGGGGGGGGCTGTTCAGACGGCTCACAGCTGGCCCACTTTGGCTCAGCCCGTGTCGGCTCTCATCAGCAGACTGCCTGGCTTTCAGAGAGCCTGTCACACCCGCCTCGCTCCGAGCGAGAGAGCGAGTGAGACGGGGCGGCCATCGCACAGTGCGTCCTTTGTGCTTAGCCTGCCATATGCCCCGGCCCTTTGCTTACTGCTCTGGGAAATTTGTTGTCCCCCAAACACAATTAACTTTCACTTTGCCTTCGCCGCCGCTGCAGTGAGATAAAACGTTCCACGGGTCTCGCTCTGCCGGGACGTCCGCCATCCGCTCTGGGCTGCCGCATTATTTCTTTATTATCTGGATTTAATCTGAGTTTTTTTTTTTTTTTATGCAGCTGAGATCAGCTGAGCCTATGACTGCGCTGGTGCTTATGCAGGGTTATGCTGTAATCTGTCTGTCTGCCTGTTTCCACGTCTTTCTGTTTGAGGTCGGACTTATTAAAGTGCCGCATTCTGGGTAATTCCAGAGCTAATTGCAAACTCTTTACCTGTTAAGTTTTTCTTCTTTAGCTGCCTCTGTAAAATCTTCTGTCATATAGGTTAATAATTCCCAGGCGGCCCATTGTGTGCTCTGAGGCCTGATGCCGCGTTCGCGCCAACATTGACTCTACTGGCTGCTCCACACGCCGACCAGCTGGGCCACCAGTCACAAACTGGTCACCTCATACCCGGGCTGTGTGATAGCCAATGGGGGAGGCGGGCTTGTCCTCATCACAGGGAAAGTGGGAAATGAGAGATTAAGCAGGTCCTCTACAGGGCTTCCTGGGGTGGGGGGGGGGGCTGTGCTAAAGGAGAGTGCTGGAGCCCATCGGTACTACCTTACTGCTGCCTGGTCGTCAGCTCTAGGTGCCCCCACCCCCCACCATTGTTTCACCTCAGTGCCCATTTGGTGACGTCTACAAGTGTGGATGTGGATCGACATGAGGATGCACAGGTTTGTGGGAAATTGGTATGTCTGTGCATCCTGGCTTCAGTTGTTCTGCCCAGTCGATGCTCCTGCTTCGGGGCAATTGGGAAACTGGGCCATTTCCATCGTGTCGGCCGGCCCTGTATATCTGACTCTGTATGCGCCCTGGGTTTGAGCGGGGGGGGGGCATTTATTAGGTGCTCTGCTCACACAGCTGCCTTGACAAGCTCAGAGAGGCTGGGCGGGCCTGTGATGGCTTTCTGCCAGTGCTGTCCCATGACCTGTGGGTGATGGGTCACAGACTGGGAGGGAGTTTTTCCTGTCTGAGCGCATGTTTTGACATACAGTAGTCTGTGGTCTGTCCCCGAGTTCATCACATGCCATTCTCTGCATGGCTGGCTGCTTTGCAGGATGAACTCGTGAACGTAGCGCCCTCCGCAGGTTGGTGGGTATCAGTGTAAAGAGCCGTCTCTCCCTTCTGTTGCTGTGTCCGCATGACTGCTGGTTCTCTCAGTTACAGCACAGGCAGTATATTTACATGCACAGCTTAGTCGAGCTATGGTTCTAGCTCAACTACAGCATTTAATCGGACTACTGTCTTTGTCCCAGTATACATGTAAGGGAGGGGCCAAATTAAGTGACACAAGCTTTAATTGCGATCTGGTCGGAAGAACAGATGCAAGAAGATCAGGACTGCATAACAAGAAATACAGTATTTTGTACAATATTTGATGACAACAGTAGTGGAATTTTTTTTAATATTGCAATGTGATTTTGTTGTGAAATTGGAGTATTTATGAAACAAAAAGGAGTTTAACATAAATTTCTCACAAACCCGTCTAGGAGTGATTTAAACAGCAAGGATGAAAATGATTGACGGTCTTGAACGCATGCAAAAGCAGAAGAGGTAAACTTTAAACAGATTTTTAAACATATACTAAATAATCTTGAAGAGGCTGATTTAATGTATACATGCAGGAGTAAATCGACTCCCAATCTCATTATCTGGGTGTTTTAGTCCAACTAAGAAAAATTCTATTTAGTGCGATTTCATTAGTGTTTACATGTACTGTAAAAGTCTGGCTTTAGTTGGACTAACACAATAATTCGATTTTCTTAGTGTGCTTGTAAACGTACTCTGTGTTAATGGTTCCCCTCTGGCGCTGGGCAGAAGGGCCGGGAGGGGGATGGAATCGTCTCACGCCAATGGACACCCCGCGTCCCCTGCTGTGCGTAGCTAGGGGCCCTTTGTAGCTAAACTGTTAGCTCACTCTGGGGGATTTTGCTGCTGGGAAAGCAGGTGAAGGAGGCGCTTCCTGTTCCCTTAACTGGAAGCAGAGGGGATCTCCGCAGGGGGAACAGCGTGGTCACTGAGTCAGGCGCTCCCCGCCATCCCTGCTGGCACCGCCCACCACGGCAAGGTCATCGCATCCACACTGCCGGGACGGGCACGCCGAACACGGGAGACGCGCATTACCGCAGCACCTCCGCATCCACACTGCCGGGACGGGCACGCCGAACACGGGAGACGCGCATTACCGCAGCTCCTCCGCATCCTTGGGTTTCATGAATGTGACATTAATGTCGCCCCGGGACACGGCCTGGGTTATGAAAACGCTTTCTATGGTTTCATTATGCTAATCGCCCGAGTCCATTTCATTACCGCGGCCCCTCGGCTGCATAATGAAGCGCAGTGCGAGGATGCCGATTTCCTGCATGCGTCGTTTTTCCCAGCTTGCCTTCACACCCTGAAACGTGGCCTCTCCGGGTCCAGGGCCGAGCGGCTGTGTTCGCTGGGCGAGTGCGGGGGACGTAGTCCGTGAGGTCATCGGGTCACCCAGCATGACGCTCGCTGACCGATGGTGGCGGACTTGGGTTGCCTTCTAGGGAACGGGATCCGGGTTCTCGGAAAGCTCGTGGCCTTTGCTGGTAGGGCGGCGTACTTGGAGGTGATCTGCTGATGCCCCATGTTCCAGCATCATCCTGAGCAGAGACACATGTGCCCTGTGGGGCACCCTAGACTGGATGCCGCTGGTTTCCTGTTTTTATGTAAATTAAATCCTTTCAGTATAATCCAGCTTTGAGGTGGGGAGGGGGGGGCAGTACATTAGTGTCCTTAGAACTGTATCTTTCAGTGCGCAGATTTTTAAATTGACCTTAACTGAGAAGATCCTGCATTATTGATTTTATTAGGATCAGCGAGAGCGGAATGGTACTATAGTCTGGCGGCGTTGATCTGCTGAAAAGCCACGTTTCATGTAGTTACTCATCACCATCTCTGTCTTCATGCTGGAGGGTCCTTGGTGGGTCTGTGCTCCTCACTGATTGCTCTGGGTGCTTTGGGAGCCTCAGGGTAACCAGAGGTCAAGGGAGCCGCCCATCTCCTCTGGGGTCAAAGGTCAACTGTCGTCGTAAGCCAGGTTGGGTGGAGGTTAGGGGGTGTGGTGGCGACACTCAGGCGTCTCACCAGGGATGGGTGGGGGCGGAAGTTTCCAAGGGCAAAACCCCAGGGACGGCATGCATCTTCATTAGCGTGTCCCACCCCCACAGCCGTCCCGGCAGGGAGGGGCTGTTGCCCAGCTGTTTTGGCGGCGGCCCACCGAGCTGTAAAGCACAGCTTGAAAGGCAGGATGCAGGCCTGGCTGCTGAGAGAGGGGCTGGAGTGTCTCTTTCCTGTCCCGTGGGGGGGGGCCTTTCCCTTTCAGGGCCGCGTGTCACCCTGAGGTCGCTGCTCCGTCGGCCTGCGCTTAACGCAGGAGTGCAGAGAGGGATGCAGGAAGGGGTGCAAGGGATGCGTGAATGACAGCGTGTGTCGCTGTGGGTGAATGCTGAGCAGTGTGCTGAATGAACCCCCCCCCCCCCCTCGGCCTGATTAACATCCTGCTGCATAAACGGTGTAGTAGCGGTGTGTCTCTGCTAGGGAAGCGTGTAAGGAACAAACAACACTGCTGTGGGGGTCTGAGCCCTGCTCCCCAGCCTCTGGCAGTGCTGTCATGCAGATGGAGAATCCGAGGTCTGAGAGGCTGACCCTCCCCCTCCCCCCCCCCCCCCCCCCCCCCCCCCCCCCTCCCCACAGGCATGGCTCACAGCTCCCCAGCAGCGGCGACCTCGGCCGCAGGCAGCTCCGCTGACAGCTGAAGGGGGCGCCCTCGTCCCGGGCTGGAATGACGCAGCAGGAGTGCAGCCCGGCAGAAGAGTGACGAGCACGCCGACGACGATGGGCCTCAGCGCCTCCAGTTACCCTCACTCGTGCCCCCCCCGCGTGGCGGGCAGCTCGCAGGCACAGCAGACCTTCATCGGTAAGACCTCCCCCAGTTGTCGGGTCTGAGCTCCATTACTCCGTATATGTTTCTCTATTTGCTCGTACGCCTCCCCCTCCGGACCCCGTCACCCACTGCCAGTGTGCATGCGCACGTATCATAGACACCAATAACAAAATGGGGGGGGGGGGAATATTCCTTTCAAAGTAAAGGTTTGCTAAACATCAGGGGTGGTTGGGGGGAATCCAAGCTGCCAATTCAGCCCGTTACCCCTGATTGGGTAGGTGTGGAGGCTGACGGCAGTGTGGATGCAATGACCTTGCCGTGGTGGGCGGAGCTTGGGCTCCCCGGCAGGGGGGGTGTGTTGTCATCAGCTCATCGCGTGTCCTGCTTCCCCAGGCAAGCGGCCCTCCCACCCCCAGATAACCTTTCCTTGCTTCTCCTGAAGTCAGGACAAGTCAGCCCGCTTTCCTGCTATGCCGAGGAGGATGGGTATGAGTGGGGCTTGTGCTTCTGATTGGCCTCACGTCATCTGGCCGTGGCTCACAGAGCGATGGAATCGCCGCCAAGGCCTTTGGGGCAGGGGTGTGCTGTAGGGTGGTTAGATTCAACGAAGGATTAAAAAAAAAATCATTTCGTTAACTGGAATAAAAATAAAGATGACAGTTTTCAAAAAACTGCAATGAACAGTGCCACACAAACTAAAAACGAAATAGAAATGCGGGTAAAATCAGTTACGTTTTAGTTTTGTTACGTTTTTTGCCCCTCAAGTTGCACTGTGGTTGAGGGTCGCAATTTACGTCACGCCGGGTGAAAGTCACTTCCGGTGTGGTTTCCAAACATGGAACTGAACTATAACTAAAAGGATAACTAAAATAGAAATGATCATATAATAAAAACTAAACTAAGACTGTCTGTACGTTCTTAAAAGAAACTGAGACTGAACTAAATCTGAAAAAACACAATGGAAAACTAAATAAAAATAAAAACTATTGCAAATTTGAAAACTGTAGGTGTGCTGGTCGCTGGAGGAGGGGGGGGCAGGAAGGCAGGCATTTCTAAGGAAGGCTTCCCTGGCAATGGAGGGCGGGGGCCGTGCTGACCCGCATTGTGATGATAGCTGTGTCCTGCAAACTGCCTGTTTGCCTTGTCTGTCTGTATTCCCCGACCCCCGAGTCTCTCGCCGCCGTCGTGTCAGATAAAACAGACCTGCTCTCTGTGTTTGTTTTCCTCAGTGCGCTGCCTCTGTTAAATGGACAAACCACCCCTGAGCAACAAGAGCATCGCTGATAACCAGCTTTTTAATCGACATTAGCAGGAAATAATGCGTTTATAACCCAGCAGTTCACCCCCCCTTCATTATTTGCTGTCCTTGGTCTGCTAAGTATATGATAGAATGTTAATTTCAAGGTAATTTACATTTGATAAGCGTTGCAGTTTGGAATAACATTTTTCTGGGTGCTGAATCTCTGGGTAATTAGTATTAATGTATTTTGTCTTCCCTCATATTTATTGAAAATTGTACCCCCCCTACCCTCCTCCCCCCCCCACCCCACACACATACACACAAACAGAATTGTCGCCGTCCACAAAGACACTAAAGCCCCCCTATTTCTTAGATTTTCGTTATTTATTGTCGTTCTCGTGCCCTGCTGAGTCCGGCTGCTCTGCTCTGCCCCCTGCAGGCACCTCCTCCTACACACAGCAGGGCTACGGCTGCGAGGCCAAGCTCTACAGCCTGGAGCAGCATGGACCCGACAAGCCGCCGGACAAGAAGAAGCGGAGTTCGGGCCTGGCCACGCTCAAGCGACGCCTCATCCGGCGCCGCAAGTCGGGCCGCGCTGCCGACCATGCCCGCCACATGAGGGAGCTGCTGAGCGGCTGGGACGTTCGGGACGCCAACGCGCTAGTGGAGGAGTATGAGGGCACCATGGCACTCAAGGAGCTGAGCCTGCAGGCCGGCCTGGCCAGGCCGGAGGCGCGGACGCTGGCGCGTGACCTGGCCGCCCTCTACGAGCACAAGTACTGCACAGATGTGGACCTGATTTTCCAAGACGCTTGCTTCCCGGCGCACCGCGCCATTCTGGCCGCCCGCTGCCCCTTCTTCAAGACGCTGCTGTCCTCGCAGCCCGAGTTCGGCGCTCAGGTGCTGTTGGACGTGCGCACGGCCGGCATCGACGTGCCCATGTTCTCTGCGCTGCTGCGCTTCCTGTACACGGGCGAACTGGCGCCAGGTGAGGCGCGCCTGCAGAATATCGACGTGCTGCTGCAGCTGACGGAGGAGTTCGGCACGCCCAACCCGCTGGACGCCGACATGCGTGGCCTCCTCGACTACATGTGCTACTACGACTCCCTGCTGAGCTTCACCTCCGACGGTCAGCTGGTAGAGGCGTTCGGGGGCGAAGCGGGGCCCGGGGTCTGCGCTGCGGCCGGCCCGGGCCGCCCCGAGGAGGAGCTGCGGGCGCACAAGGCCGTGCTGTCGGCGCGCTCGCCGTTCTTCCGCAACCTGCTGCAGCGGCGCATCCGCACGGGCGAGGAGATGACGGAGCGCGCCCTGCAGGCGCCCACGCGCATCGTACTGGACGAGTCCATCATCCCGCGCAAGTACGCGCGCGTCATCCTGCGCTGCATGTACACGGACGCTGTGGACTTGTCCTACGTGCTGCGCTCCAGCCCGTCGGCCGGCAGCCTGGGCGAGGTGCAGGCCCTGGTGGCTGGCAAGGTCGACCTGAGCCGCGCCGAGGAGGCCATGGAGCTGTATCACATCGCCCTCTTCCTGGAGTTCAGCATGCTGGCCCAAGGTAAGAGAGAGACACACGCTGGTGCAGTTACACTGTATGGCTGTGTATATGTGCACAAGCGGGGAGGAGCAGCGGTATGGGGAGTTTGTGTGTGTGTGCGTGACTCATACTTTCTTGAATGGAAGTGTAAGCGCTGAATGAGTCCACGTCAGGCAGTCGGCTGGCCAGCTCGTCAGGAGCACGCTGTCCTCCCTAGAACTTGAAAGAGGAACGAGATACAAACGAGACGGATCAAAGGGACGGGTGTCTGTGTTCGTGAATTGGCTGTTTGAGCCGCCGGTCGCCGTGGAGACGAGCCGTGACGGGCTTCGGGGCCTCGTTATGGCCCTTGATCCTCTCCGTCGTTCCGAGCCGGCCTCCGTCCCCCAGCCTCGGGTGCGATGTGGGCTAAGAAGCTCCCCAGGAGGGGTTCCTGACATACGGATCTGTGAGCAGGTTTCCCTGGAGACCATCGGAGTATTGTCTGGGTGGCAAGGGGTCATTTAGACCCCCAGTTGTGGGGGGTGAAGGGCAGTTTGGCTGAAGAAGTAGATGCTGTACTAAGACATACCCCCCCCCACCTTGATATCTGGGACTCAGGACAAGCTTGACCCCTGTTCTCTGGAAGGGAATTGAGTGATTAATGGCTCCGATTGGGACGGCAGAGACCCCAAGGTCACTTGCCGGAAGCCGGGCGTGTCGGTGGATGGGTGGGGGGGGGGGCGTGCGGACAGCTGAAGAGGTCCATGAATTTTCTCAAAGCGCTGCCAGCGCCTCTCTGGGTAGCCGTTAATATCGCCGTTTCTGGTAATTGCCCTTATGGAGGGGAGAGCCGCGTCGTACATCAAGCCCTCTGTCGCCATGGGTACTGTTGCCGTGCGTCACCGGTCGCGGTTCTCTGCCTCTGTCTTCTCGCCGTGCCGCTTTGTGCCGCCGCTCTCCGCCGTCTTATGCTCTTAATTATGCTGCGCTCCCCACGTGGCCGATTAGCTCGGTGACGCCCCCCTCTGACAGTCAAGCTCGGTAGCCTGAAGGACAAGTTTAAATTTTTTGCGCATTGGCGGTGTAGCTGCCCAGAGGCTTGGCTAGTTAGCATGCATAGTGCGTCTGCCGGTAGGGGGTGCGGGGCCATTAACGCCCCCCCCCCGACACGCTTATCGGCACACAGGGAGAATCACCGCGTCCGTCAGACCTTCATTACTCTGCTTATTTATTGTGACCCAACGAAATGTCAGCCCTGTCCTTCCTGCGGCACCTGGACGGCAACCCCTGTGCTGAATACCCCCCCCCCCCCCCCCACGCCCAGCAGGCTGAGGAGGCTGACGCGCTCAGGGGGGGGCGGAGCACTGTGGTTACCTGAATGCCCTGTGTGGAGGGGCTCTGCTGCTCTTCTCACCAGAGAATAAATAAATCTCAGCGACAAAGTGGTGAGGTTTGCGAAATGTATTCATAAGGGGGGTGGGGTGCAAATCATATTCCAGCCTCTGATGTCAGCAAACGGAGGGGGGGGGGGTGCTCAAGCAGTATGTGGTCATTTATAATATGAACCCACCATCCTTGGCAATTCAAAAGGGGGGGGGGGGTTACCTGACGTGTGCAGCAGACACTTCCTTCACAGGGTATTTGTATCCTGTTTGTGTTTTGCCCGCCGTTTATTTCATAATCCAAGCCGCTTCTCCGTCTGTCACATGTGGGACGTGCTTTAGACTTGTGTAAGGGGATTCGACCCCACCCCTTTTTCCAGATCCATATTTATTCTAAATGAACCTTAAGCCAATATTTTGTTGGTGAGCTTGTATCTCTTTTGGCCATATGCTTGATTTAAAAGCTCCATCTGTTTCGTGTGTGTGTGTGTGTGTGTGTGTGTGTGTGTGTGTGTGTGCGTGTGCGTGTGTGTGTGCGTGTGTGTGCGTGTGTGGTTATTTTATGGGGACCAGATTTTTATTTTATGAAAATCCGTGAAAACTTAAAATGTAAAAACGCTTGTATTTTTGTTTGGTTACTTATGGTTATGGTTAGGGCTGGGTAGGGGTTAAGTTGTCATAGTTAGTATTTATTCATAGTATTATGAATGAGCAGTCCCCAAAAAGATATCATTACACAACTCTGTGCGTGATTTATTTATATTTTATATTTGCCACATTGTGGGGCTCAAATATGGTAATATTTTACTTTTTAACCTGTGGAGTCCCCACAGTATAAACCTCCATTTTATTTAAATCTGTGACTGCAATCAAAAACTAAAAAATGCCAAAAATCTTGTATTTTGTCTGGTTACTTATGGATAAGGTTAGGGCTGGATAGGGGTTCAGGTCGTCATTGATGGGATTAGGGTTTTGCCCACAGAAATGACATGAGAGTCCCCATATTGATATTAATACATGAACTGTCTGCCTGTCTGTCTGTCTACCTGTCTGTCTGTCTGTCTGTCTTTCTTTGTGGTAGTAAATACTCGGCATGAAGTGTATCTATACATCCTGTGTAAATAAGCACTTTGTTGCTGTGCCGTCCCGCCCCGTCACTGGCCTTCCGGAGCATCAGCCATGATCATGCTGGGGTCAGTGCTGCAGTGCCATGTGTCCGTGACCCCGCGTGACCCCCAATAGGCCTGTGTGTCCTTAGTGTCGCTGGCCTCATTGTACTGCGTGCGTCTTGGTTTTCTGTGTGACTGGCGTTTCTTTCCTTCTCTTCCCTTGGCTCAGTATTTGGTCTGTCTCACACCTCTCCAGCACACTGTCTCTCTCTTACTTTCTCTCGCTCTCTCATCCTGTTCCCTGGGCTAAACCCCTGGGTCTTTAATTAGTACACCAGTTCAGGGCAAATGTAAGCAGATTTGATTGGCTGCTCTCCCAACATCTGCACTGTGGGCCCCACCCACAAGCTCAGCTTTTCACCAATCGCTGATGCACTGTATTGTTCCCAAAGGATCATGTTCACCCAAGTGTAAAATTACCTTTGTGGATGCACCCCCCCCCCCACCGTCTGATGACCTTGTTCCTGTCTTTCTTGATGACCTGATCTTGAAATCTGATACATATTTCGTCTTCAGGGACCCCCTCCCGCATCGGTGTGTATCGTCCTGCCTGTGTCAGAGGAGCAGAGATGTCTGTTTTGAATGCCCCAGAGTGAATAGTTCTTCATCTCTGTCAAATATTGCCCACACCATCAGACAGAAGTGTTGTCTGCTGGTCCCTCGTCTGTCCTGCATTCATTTTATTGTTGATTTGCGTCCTTTCAGACAATGTGCAATTTCACCAGCACCCCCCCATTCCATGTCCACAGAGAATCTGTCTTCAGATACCGCTGCCAACTTGCAGAGCACCAATGGACTGATTGGCTGAAAAACAACTTTGGCAGCACTTAGACTGCTGTCATGTTCACAGAGCCAGTTTAGCACTGTGACGAGCTTGGGGGGAGGATTTCTCGGCATGTCAGCCCGAGCGTAGAACGCAGAGCTCAGTCACGATGGCCGATGGCGAGAGGATGGGGCACCTGCTCGCCAACCTGTGGCCCTTTTTTTTTTTGCCTGCAGCAGAGTGTTGTGGAGGCCGAATGGATGCAGCCTCAAGAGCTGTGATCCCAGCATGCCTTTCTCTGTAAGGGTGCGTGCTGTGGAAGCGACACTCATCCAGGTAAAGAGAGGAGCGAGAGAGGGGATTTAAAAAATAAAAAAAAGTGAAATTCGATGTCCATCTTCCAGAACGCCGGGTGACGCCCTTTGAGGTGAAGGAAGTGCATAGACCTCGATTCACTTTGTGGAAAACGGGCGGTTTGTTTCCTCCGTCTGTCTCCCAGGGCCCGATGGCGTTCAGAGCGGCTCAGGAAGGTTGTGGTCGAAGTGGTTGATACATGCGACCTGACAGCCTGCCTGTAAATAACGGCCCGCACCCCCGAAAGCAAGCCCTCGCTGACTCTGTCTCTGGGGTCTAAAATAAGCTGGAAAATAGGCCTGGAAACCGGGACTCTTGCTGCAGCGATCGGCGACAGGTCTGGGTTTAAATTTGGACCGACGATGATGGCCGCGACGGGCTGCGACACGGTAGCTGTGCGTGGCGGTCGGCCAGCCGGCTGGGGGAGGGTAGGGGGGGGGGGGGCGATCCTCGCGGCTTCACCATGCTGCCTCCCGCGGGGATCTTCCTGCTGCCCCCGTTTCTCTCAGTCTCCGAGGCCCACGGAAGCCAGATGAAAGCGAGATGAAAGCGAGAGTGTGGCCGGTCTCCATCGGGCTCAGCCGGGCCAGACCCCCCCCTCCCGAAGGCTGCCTGAGGTGTGAGTCTGCATAACTTAAGGTCATGGGGGAGGTTGCACTCTGGAGGACAGGGTCCCGTTTCATACACGCCGAGAGTGAGTAGGATAGTGAGCAGATCTGTCATTTAAGACGACGACTCCCTGGGGAGTGTCGAAACCACCAGTCAAATGGGGTGGGGGGGGGTGCTGCAGTCACAAAGGGCCATTTCCCTGGCAGCGTCCGCTGTGCACAGGCCTGACATTTTAAAAGCTGCTCTGAGGTACCCATGCATTTCCACAGATGCCCCTGCCTGAGCAGATCTCCCCATACCGAGACTGACAGGACAATGGGGACCGAATACCCCCCCCCCCCCCCCCCCCCCACCTAAGGAGTGAACGTGTGAGGGTTTAATAACCTGTCATCGTCACCTTCAACCCCATGAGGAAACCGGCTCCATGGACAGTAGAGAGATGCATAAACAGGAGGGATGGGGTTGAGGGGGTGTCGAGGCAGGAAGCAGAAACAGGACACCAGCTATCAGCACAC